AACTGGGAAATTTTACCTCATCCACCATATTTGCCAGATATTGCTCCCAGTGATTATCATCTTTTTCGGAGTTTGCAGAATTTTTTAAAAGGAAAAACTTTTGAGGATGAGAACAATGTAAAAAAGGCTATTTCTGAATATTTTGATTCAAAACCGAAATCATTTTACAAAGACGGGATTAAAAAGCTACCATCAAGATGGCAAGAAATTGTACAAAATAATGGTGAATACATTATACATTTAAATAAAATTCAATTAAAATTTTTTGTTGCTTTTTTTGTAGACAAAAATATGCATGAACTTATGGACTGACCTGATAATTAATCCTGTTTAAAAATTTGAAAAATTCTATCATATCCACATCTTTTCTGTCCTTTAATCTTAAGATGTAGTTAGCAATTAAGAGGCACCTGTTTTGTTTCTATTCACTTTTGATGTCATTCAGTCTTGAAAGTATTCATTATTTTATAAAAACTTGAAATTGAATATTTTAAAATATGAAAAAACAGAGGCAACCAAATCCTAATGATAATGTTGATTCAAGAGTTTGTTATGTTAAACGAGGTAATGTAAAATTATAAAAAAATACAATAAAAAGTCTAAGTTAGTGGCATTACTCGTATTTAATATTTTTTTTATCTAATTTAAATATTCAGTTTTATAATAGAAAACTCAACTCTGAGGTATACATGTATAAAGTTTTTGTCTAGAAACAAAAACTTAATAGTTGTTGGTCCTATTATTGGGTCAATATATTCATTCTTTGCCATGATAAATAACTTTGTCCGAATGGCAATTATTAAGTTTCTGAAGACAAAGTCTGTCCAAAAAGAAACCACCATTTATTGACGGTTCCTTTTTGGACAGACTTTGTTTTCAGAAACATATTACACTTTGTTGAAATAGCTATTTTTTTTTTTGTTAGTTATATGTCACTATTATGGTAATGCATATGTTAGACTTATTAAAATACAAAATTTTATTTTATTAGCATAGTTATTTCTGAAGATTTTAAATGTAAATACACTACTTATAAAATACAATGTAATTTTTGTGAATTAATTTAAAATAATTTTATAAGAATAATTTAGAAAATAATAAAATAAAATGGAGAAGGCACTGAGGTCGACATTACATGTATGTTTTTAGAAAAATCTCAACAGATGGCATTAGGTTAGAAATTGCTAGTGAAAAACCTGTTTGTATTCTGCTATAATTAGTCAATGCTTTCTAGATATAATTTCTAATAATTTTTAAGTTTTGATTCACTTACACTCAAGAAAATTAATTACTTCCATCTATGATCCAACTTAAATTTAAGTAAAATACACTGTAAAATGTAATATGCTGCATTAAGAAATAAGATTTATATCTTTGATGATATAACTTATTTTTTCAGTGTGTAATAATTGATTGGTTGTAACAAAATCTTAATTGTAATTATAGAAAAAGGAATAAGAGTTCAATATAGAACTTTACTGAAACATGTAGATAATGTACTGTACAAAATTGGATTTAAACTTTAAGAACAGATTATATAAACTATGTTAATTTTTTCAAATATATTTGAATTCATTCCCCTACAGCATTAGATTTTTTGAATCATTAAGATGGTTTGGTTTTACTATATTATAATTCTTATCAAATTTCTTAGTGATCATTATTATAAACCAATAAATGATGATCTTTTGTGAATTTAATTTTATTACACTATGTTAGATAATACTATTAGTATTTTCATGATTAATTCATAAACATAAAGAAAAAACTCTTTTTCAATTTATCAAATTTATCCTAATTAGTTCCTAGTGAAGAGTCTCTGACAACAAGTCCCAATCAGCGAACTCCAATTTCAGAAATATCTTCAAAAGGTGGATCAGAAGAAGATCTTTCGTGTCACGAGAAAACAGAGATTATGCTATTGTGTGGTCTCTCACCATCAGAAAGAGAGAGTATATTGTCAGTACCATCAGCTAACAACATTGATGATCTGAAACTTTTTGCACGGTAAAATATTATTTATTAATTTTCAAAATAGTCTTTCAACAGATATTGTGTAATTATTATGTATATCAATATAATATTAATATATATTTCAGATTATGTAGATATTTTAGAGGAGGTCATCATTTAGAAGAAATTATGTATTATGAAAATGTACGGAGATCACAGCTTCATACTCTCCTTGATAAATTTCGTGATGTTCTAATTACCTGTCCTCATGAAGATGCTGCAGTTGCTGCATTTTATGGAAAAACATGATAGTAAATTTATTTTTCTTTTGTTATGTAAACAGCTTTTGTAGATTGTGTTTCATCTTTCTTTAAAAATTTTATAAGAAAAAAAAATAACACAGAGAGAATTCTTAACTAAAAGTAAGATAATTACTAAATGATCTGGCAGATTATTTATCAGGCTATATAATCTGGAGGATCATTTAGCAACACTAATTGAATCAGGTTATTGTATATGTCATTATACAAGTAAGACAATCTTTTCAAATGGTTCTTTCTGCATTGACTTAAACTGAAGGAAGAGAAATTCAATCAAAATATAATTTTGATTGAAAGGAAAATATAAAACCAAACTTTTACAGATGACAAATATTCACTTTGCTATCATTTGTATATTTGAATTTGATATGGAAGTTTTTATATAAATTTCATAAAAACACATTTAAAATGGGATATATGTGGCTGTGTAAATATGTAATTTGGACAGATTGTCTGCTCTCAGACATTGATGTATTATATTTTTATACCATATTGGTATAATATAAATAGTAATTTATGATTTTCTTTTTCTTATTATTTTGTATAGGTGATAAAAATGAGTTTTTATATTAAAATCAAATCATTTTTGATTTGAAATAATTTATTTAAACTTAAGATATTATTTTTAATATAGATAATATTCAGTAGTAGTTTTTCTTTTTTCAATATATTATTTATTAATATGATATTTTACACTTAAATATCAAAAAATATAAAATTTATTTTCATTTTCATATCCTTAAACATTGAGATTTTGTAAATCATAAATACCAAAGCAATAAAATGAAATGATTTCTAAATAAAAGAACAATTAAATACAATTTAGGTTTCATTTATATTGTAAATATTAGTATAACATTTACAATGAAAATGAAATGTTCTAAATAATTTTAACCTGAGAAAGCTTGTTAACTAAAATACTAATTTAGTTATAATAATGATATATGGTTTATTTTAAATAAATTAATTAGAAAAACAAACTTTATGTATATTAAACTTAAAATTTATTTTTGTGAATATTAGAGATACAGTAATATACAATTGTGAATAAAATCAAAATAGAATATTTTGTCAATTTTTCATCTTATTTATGTATATTTTTTTTAAATATATGAATTAAGAACAANACAATATATAAGGCATTTTATCACTATCAACATGAGTCATACTTTTTAGAACCATAATCTATCTAAAGTCTGTAAGTTTGAGTCTAAGGCTAAAGCTATACTATTGTGGCTTTTTTACTTTATTTTGTTAAAGATATTACAACCATTCAATAACTTTAAAGCTTAAAGAACTAAGACAAAACTTAAAAATAAAATCAAGATTATATTTTTATTAAAACAGTATAAAATATAAAGTAATAGGATATAATAGAAAGGAACTATAAAAAGAAAATCAGGAGCATCTTCCTCTACTAGTTCTATTTTTTTTTTTAAGATTGTATTGTTTGAATATAAAATATAACCTGAAAAATTTGGTTAATCAAATTATTATCTAAGAGTAAATATATTATTTATATTACAATTTAAATTTATTAGGAGTTGGAGTCTGTCCTCTGACTCTGGTAACTCCAGAACTGCTTTCAACTCCAACTCCACAACTCTGATTTCATAGCCTTGTATTTTAAAAAATATACGAGGGCTGTTCAAAAAGTATCAGACCTTTGGTCGGCAAAAATACATTTATTGATTTTGAGGTACAAAACTCTAATCCCCTTCAAAGTAGTCTCCTTGCTAGTGTATACACTTCTCCCAGCGCTCCTGCCATTGCTGGAAACACTGCTGGAAAGCATCTTTTGGAATGGCCATCAGCCGGTCCGTCGCATTCCACATGATGTCTTCTCTCAACTAAAATCAGGCTCCTTTTAGTGGCATTTTCAGCTTGGGAAATAGCCAAAAGTCACATGGAGCCATGTGGGGAGAGTACAGAGCGTGATGAACCACAGGAGTGTTGTGTTTGGCGACAAAAGCCCGAATCAGATGCGCAGAATGGGCAGATGCGTTATCACGATGGAGCTGCCAAGTTTTGATTGATCACAGATCCGGTCGTTTGCGTCACACAGCATCACAAAGACGACGAAGGACCTCCTGGTAGTACTCCTTTGTGGTGGTTTGGCCTTGTGGTGCGTACTCACGATACACCACCCCACGAGAGTTGAAAAAACTGTCAACATGACCTTGATATTGCTGCGGATCTGCCATGCTTTTTTGGCCTCAAGGATCGTCCCTGAAAGCCTGCTGAATCTTGCGAATGGTTTATGCTTGGATATCGCCAAGGTTTTTGGCAAAATTTGATGCAATATCGCTCTCACGTTGTTCAGTCATTTTCTAACTTAGTGGAATCTGACGAGCACTCACTACATGTTCTCACTTATAGGCCAACTGCCAGCAACTGACGCTTCCTGCAGGCGGGAAAAAATTCAGGACTGTGCATGACTGTCCCCTCCACAATTCCACCGAAAGAGGCCTCCCGCGCATCATTGGTTTACGCGGAAAAAATAAAAGTCCGATACTTTTTTTAACAGACCTCGTATTTTAAGATGAAAATATATAATTGCATGGATTTTTAAAATATTAGTTTAAACAAGTAATTATGGCAAGATGCAATAATAATTAATCACACATATCTGTATATTAATATTTATTTGAAAATAAGAATTAAAATTAAATATTCACCAGTTTTTTTTAATTTGATAGATTATATTTTAAAAAATTAAAATATCTTTCGATACTGTTTATATTTTATGAAACTGTTTGTTTAAAAAATTTATTTGTGTTATTTCTCTCTTGATAAAAATAAACATGTTTCATACAAACTGATTTTGTTTTTAATCATTCATTACAAAACAAGTATTAATTTAAACATTATATAATAAGTGAAAACTAATATATTAATTTACATTTATTTATAAGATTTTACATTAATACTCGTATATTGATTCTTCAGTTTTTCTCTTTATATATCACTTTGAATTTTTGATTCTGAAAAAACTATGTATAATTTGGAATGAAGAAGCATGTAAGAATCAAAAATAATATGTTTTTATAAAATAAATAGCTGCATGTAAGTTAGAATGAGATTTAATAATTTCTTGACAAAATATAAGTTGCTATTTTTTTTTTTTTCTGAATTGACAGTTTAACATTTTACAACATTTTTAATTGTATGATTGAAAACAATTCTAAAGATATAGAAGCAAAACATTTCAGTTATTGGACAGTTTTTAGTCTATCACTTATCACTCACATATTAAAGAATAGAGAAAAGAAAGGAAACATAATAATTGCATATGTTTCCAATTAAGACTGTTATTAATTATACTGGCATATATTTAATTTATTCATTTTATTCTAGTAATAAAATAAAATTTTATAATTTAATAGAAATATTAAAATTTTTTTCCTCTATTATTATTATTGTGTGTACAAACTATTTTAATAATTTTTATGAGAAATATAATATTTGTAAAACAGAGATCAAACTTAAAAGTATAAATGCATATTACAAACTTTTCTAAGAAATACTTTTATAGCCTACTCATTTATACATAGCCGAATTTTGTACATAGCATGATACAATCAATAACATTACAGGAAAAACCTTTCAGCAAATGATGCACAAAAGTATCTAGATTTATGATCTTTCCCTCTTACACATTGCTAGAATAAAATGGACAGCAGAAATCTCTTAGATCAATTTAGCTATATAAAACGTTTAAAATTTTACATTTTAAAGATTTAAATTCCAGTAAGAATTTTTAAAGCGTTTAGAAGTGAGAGTATTAATCTTTTTATGCAATAGAATTTAAAATGAAGGGATTGTTTTGAATGTATTTAAATTCATATTTCCATCTATAAAAATAATATATAGATTCTCAATTATAAAATTTTCTGCATTGAAAATGTGTAGAGAACAACACACATGTTGAAAGCCAAATTAATTTGTTTTTCATTATTTTATGGCTTCATTTAGCGGCAGTAGCACATTAATTTTATGATGTGACTTGTACATGATGCACGGTGAATACATGTATACATTTCGAAAATTGCAGTTTTTCCTCAATCGAATTATTTTCCTCTTACATTAAAAATTGAAATTAATAATGCATATACGAAACTTCTAATTTATAATATGTAATAATTAGATTTAGATTTATAGTTGAGTACATTTCTCCTCCCTATCTTGGAATTCTTGTTTTATGAGATCCGGGCGTATCTGTATTGATATAACCTTCATCTTCGGATCTCCATTCAAACCTAACATCGTGGAAATATTTAATTGCGTATTTGTTAAGGTCATTTCTGCTTTTTTAAATTGTGTTTTTTCGCAGAAATCGGAATATCAATCTCTGGCTTTTCTATTTTGGCATATCCGATCATTATGACATAATTCATCAATTTCGTCATTCTATTGCCGGATTTTTTTTCTTATAAACAACGAATACATTTCCATTGTTTCGCCACTCGTTAAGAAATTAGTTCCACTATTCTCTACTTCATAACTCTTGGTTAAAAATTTCGTCAAAAAAGAATCCTGTTGTTGTTGGTTATAAAAGAGTTGCTATAACAACCGATAGAAAATCGAACCATGGGGTCGAGTGCAATGACGTCACCCCACTAGGTGAAGATTAGGTCATTCTCCCATTTGATAGTCGATAATGGGGCACGCTCTTTCTTAGAAAAAGGAGTAATCGAAACAAATTTTTAATACATAAAATAATTAATAAAAGTACCTTTATCTTTAATAGCTTTTAAAGAAGGGATGAAATGCCAATACTCCTAAATATTTGTATCTAGCTATCTCTCCACCCCATCTATGTCAAAAGATGTGAAGAAACTGGGTGTGACGAAACCGCACCCATTCTTCTAAAGAGCTGACAACTGTGAAAATATGACTTTGCGTATCTGTGTAATGAGCAAAAAGACACTTCAAATATTTCGACCAAGAACAAAGTTATTAGCTAAACTTTAGTAATTATTTTAGCAAATGCTATTTGTGGCATCTATTCGAATCATAATTATATTCCATATAACTGAACAGTTAAGAGAGAATAAGCTGTCTAGCACGATTAATACAGCTAAACTTCCGAAACATAAATGATTTAATGGATAAAGTAATGAGTCATTTTATTATGAAGTAGATTATACAGTCGAATATAATCGTAATGAAATTTTCGTCGCATCAATATATTTAAAAGCAAATGACAATTTGCAAAGTTAACGAGTTTTAAAAAATAATAATTTAAAAATTTAATTTATTTTTTTTCTGTACACGGAAACAAAACTGCTATCAAAATAAGTTAAATTATTTAATGTAGCCTGTTAGAAAGAATTTATGCGATTTATATGAATTTAATTTCCTGACGTTAATCACAGCAGTCGACTTCTTTATAATTAGTTAGCGACTGGGTGTTACAGCTAATGTAAATTTTCAATCGTCCCAATTGCCGCTGACTTTAGGATCTTAATTGTGCAGAATCACGTCACGTTACTGATTCAAACGTAGTGCGCTTTACCTCTTCTCAGTGGATCAATCCAAGCGATTCTCACCAAGCATGCGTTGTATATTCGGTTAACGTCGATCTCATACTGCGTGCTCAGGTGCTGCACCTATCTACAGCTGCCTACCTGCTTGCCAGTTAACAGTCGTCCTATTATCAACTTTCTACAAATGTAATTAAGGAAATGTATAGAAAATATAGTTGAAGCTATAAAGGATACAGGTAAAAGTTTTTCGATAGTTTAGTAATATGTTATTTATAATTATATATTTAACTTTAAATGGTCGCAGCTGGCGAATACTATTATAAAATTAAATTATTTGTATACGATAGGAAATTCGAAATCGTAGCTAAATTTTCTCTATTTTAAAGCCAGTTCCTAAAAAGATTTGTTGATAGTACAAATATTTATCGTTCGTCGAGCTGTCGTTAATTTAAGAGCATTTTCTGTAAACATTTATAATACGTCGAAGGCCATTTAATAATTTATCAAATTAATTAATGAATAAATTTACACAAATGAAGATATTTTACAGTCAGTGCGTCTGTTAATACCAGGGTTTTTATTTTTGCAAAGATTAAATATTGAAAATTGACTCCTGTAAAGCGAACTTTACCTCATGCTTCGAACTTGAGCAAATAACCTTGAAAAATAAATAGAATTTATTTAAAATAATAATAATAGTAATAATAATATTTTTACTGATGTGTTAGCAAAGTTAAAATTTTCCACAAATATGCATTTTGTATAATAACTCGTACCAAAATCCATTTTGTAATTTTTCGTGTAGTGTTTAAAAATTTAAAATTTAAAGCTTTTTTTTTTAAATGTAAGCGTATAGGTTGCTTCCGGTATCTATTCAAATTAATGAAAAGCTCTAAGTCAGGCAGCTGACATCTTATATCTCAGATAATTAATTTAATCTGGCTTATGCGGAAGAAGCGATGCGTGAAGAGGATTAAGATCTTTACTCTTAGCTTATTTTCCGGATTAATGAAACTTAAGAATTAAATTCGTAAAAACGAGACAAAGAGTAGGTCAGTTATCTAAAGTAGACCTGAGGTTGAACTCGAAACTCAACAAGGTTATCGATAAAAGTCTTTCCCCGCTCTGTTAGCGACGGAAACAAGCCTTCGATTCTGTCAACGTCCGGTCTTAACTATTCAGTTTGACCACTGAACCACGCCCTCCACTGTCTCAGTTTTTAACTGGTACTTCCTTTCTGGCCAATCATACAAAACGATTCTAGTATGAAATTCCAAAAATGTCGGTGTTTTCCCCAATTAGAATGAAGCTATTGTGTAGTTACTAATTGCTTGGCGGAAATTCTTATTGCGGAAAGATATACAAAGAAAAATATAGGTACAGTACAAACTCGACGATAACTATATGCGAATAACTGAAGCCCTTTGAGGAAGTAACACGATGAGTATAATCCACTTAAAGAGAAACTTTCTACTTTTAAAGAACCTAAAATAATTTTACAGGAAAAATTACGCAAGAAATCTTTAAGGAGCGAGAAAATAATATATAAATAATAGTTGTTTATCTGTTTTATTTATTTATATTTTTAGAAATTAATATTTTTCGTATCGAGATAGACGAATTATTTAACAAAAATTAAATATAACAAACTCTTAAAATTATTCATACTGTTCCTCCTTTCGGTAGTTATTACGACCTTGAATCACGCAACAGTGTGTTAAAATGAAGAATTTTTTTCTTTCTCCCCTCGAACGAAGAATAGGAGAAAGAAAGAAAATTTTAAATGGTTTATGCTGTAAATACTAGCGTAGCGAAACACTATTTACCACTTTTTCCAAACTACTAATTATAGACTTTATAAAGAACGTGTTTAATCCCAACTCGTCGGAGAACGTCTCTCTTAAAATTCAAGAAAAATATATTAAAATTTTGGCAAGCTTCGTGCGAATGTATTTTAAGTTAATAAAGCCACACAAGTAATATAGAAGCCGTTATCCACTATTGGAATTCGGGTGTGGTCTGTAATTTTACAGATTGTATCTATTCGCAGTAATTCATCAAAATTTTGTAATTTGGTGTTTGTAAAGACTATTTCGATGAAAAGCTGACAGAGATCGGTGTCTGTCTGTCATCAGATTTTCGATTTTAGTCAAGAATTTGTTACAATTTTTTTTTTTTTAATATGAATCTTGGGAAGAATAAATTCGGAAATATGCAATAAAAATATAAACTTACTATCGATATTTATATTACTTTTTTTTCTGCGTATGATTAACAAATATTAGGACAGACTTTTTAATGAGGAAAAAGTTTTCTTAAATTAACAGAAATTTATGTTCATTTTGTAGTAGAAAAGTTTTAAAATGCGTATTTAATAAGCCAGAACACTTAAAGGAAAATTTTTAAATTTTACTACACTAAATTATTGAAGTGTAGGACATTTTTCTTCGATTTTCTCTGCTATAAATCATCATTACTTATTCTCTGAATAGATCCTAGTATGATAAAAAGAGTTTTTTCTCAAGTTCACAGAAAAATAAATCTTCGTTTAATAAGTAAATATTTCAGAATTATTATACTGCTAGATTTTTCAAACAGGAAAACAGAACATATATAGGAAAACAAATAGCGAATAAAAATACATTTATAAGAATAAAGGATGTTAGTATGTAAAATGATAGACATTCAATAAAACAATTATATTCATTTTAAATTGACAAGACAAAACTGACGAAGTACAATAGATCCCATTATATAAAAATTCTAGTTAAGTCAGAATTTCGTTGAAATTACTTATATTTTCTTAATTTTTTTTGAACTGATACGCTCTCGGTATAGTCGTTAGTCTCACTCAAGTTCCCACAGGTTAGCAATACAAATGCCCTCGTAAAATGCCAAAACCATATAAAAACGGGAGATCAAACTTTCACTTCATAGTAAGCAAACTCTGTGTAGTAATAAAAAAAGAAAATTTTATGGCAGGACGAGAAAACTATTTCAGTGACATAACTCCAAATTGCATTTGTGGCACGCTATCTGCATTTGCGTGGCGCAGTTATGATTTTCGAGTCACTGAACTTTACTCATAAGATGATGATCCTGTAGGACATGCAGAAAACCAATTCGTGTAATTTCGCTTTTAGATAAAGTATAGATTATTATCTTCAAAATATATTACTACCAGTAAAAAATTTTTTAGCTATTTTGATAGTTGATTTATGTGTTTACATCAATAATTTCAGGATATAAAGAAGAATAAAAGTCATATTTGTAAACGATTCCAATTTTTAAAAATCATATCTGTATTATTTAAAGCAAGTATAATTTGAATAATATATGGTAATTTGCTACTGTATATTTGTTACAGAGGAATTCAAATTTTGTTTACAAAGTACGGGATGTAATTTTATTTACATTTATACATATTGATTGTAATTTTCCTTCATGATTATTTTGTAATTCTGTTTATAAATTGTATGAATCTAAAATTTAATTTAATATAGCGGATGTTATTAGATTTTTAACAAGTAATTCAGTTTAAACTAAGAGAACAAATTCTTAACATAATCTAATTTCAATTTTAGCATATCACGATGAATTTGGATGAGAGTAGAGTGATTTTATATTTTGGAATCCAGATTCTCTGACAATCCTCGGCAATGGGTAAAATGAACTTTCGCGCCACTCTTTTAAGAGCATGGCTGATATCAATCGTACTTCTCTTCCTAGTTGGAGTGATATTGTTAGTGTGTGGAGCAATTTTTGGAGCAAACAAATCTTTACTAATCACGGGTGTTATCTGTGTGACTATTGCAATTCCGATGATATTATTTTACATTGGTATCAAGCGATGTAGAAGAAAGAGAAATCAATGCAAAGGCCAAAGCAACGGTCAAGTATCTACTATATACCCACCCGAATATTATACTCAAACTCCTCCAGGCTTAAAAACGGATTATCCCATGGGACCGTTTTTGATCATGACTTTACCTAGATCTAGAGAGGACAGAAGAGGAAGCTGCCATTTCGAAGAGAGTGCAAACTCTACACCGAGTGCTTCTTGTCATCGGTAAGTTTTATATGTTTTAAAATGAAAATATATATGTTTGTTGAAATGTTTCGCTTATTTCTCAAATAATCATAATGTGATCTGTTTAATATTTTTTAAAATTTGAATATATACAGTACTTTAGTTTTCCAACTACTAATTTTATTGTGTATCCATGTTTTCTTATTCTTTATGTCACATTTCTTGAACATCGATGCAACAGTTTATAGGCAATATTTATATTTTCCACTCACGAAACTGCCACTTCATAATGTGCTTCATAAAAAGACTGAGATTACCCATATCATACTTAGCATATTATGACTGAAATTTAAATATAAATTACTATCAATTCACTTTTTTGTAATATGCTGTTGAGAATTATGATTACGATTTGCTCATACAAGGTCCCAGCACACTACGAGGCCTCTGTATAGACGGCTTCAATTGTTCATTATTATGATCTAATCCCTAATAGAGTCGATTCGCATGAATGAAAAAGGTGGAAACCAAGCCGCGACCCGAATTATCAAAGAAAAATGACGAGGATCCAGATCGGATTCAAACTTATCAACTTATCAGGCTATCAGATTAACGTATTGGTTATTAAATCTATTGAAGTAGCATGTCATGAACCATTTACATTTGGATAGATAAGCTTTTACATTGCACATTTATAAAATTTAATATGAAAATAAATCTTGTCAAAAAGAACGAAAATATAGCTTAATCTAAGAGAGAGAGAATTTGTTTTACGGAAAGCAGGGAAAATAGTAGCAATAAAGTTTAATTAATGTTTATTTTATTAGGAATTTCAATGATAATGAAGTTTTGAGCATTACTTTTCACGTATCTGTTTTAATCGCATAGAAATAATAATAGTCATCTTGGCAATAATAAAACATTTATTTAATGTAGAAGATAATTCTTTAATTTTTGAAACTTGTTCTCTTCTTTAGATAAGTTTCATCGATTGCTTGGAAGTATGTACCGTATGTAAGCTATATATAAGAATTACATCGACAATTTTGGTATAAAAAAAAAGGACAATTTCCGAAACAATCCCAAAGGGCTAATGTCTTGTATTGTGAATATGGACCCAATCTACATCTTTGCTTCTACAAGACAAACAATTTTTCTCATCTTTCTCTAAAGGAAAAACTTCATTTTTTTCTTTTCTTTATCGGAATTTAATAACGGTTTTTTTTGTTTTTGCTATTTACTTTCTAATCGTTTCATTTCTAGCGACGTTTTCTTTAATGTGTTTATAAGTATAGCGTATCTTTTTCTTTTCACGAGAACTATTTTTTATTTTTGTTTTTGTTAGTAATGCTTTAAGAAAAGTGAACAATGTTTTCTAGAGAAAAGAGGCATTTAGTATAGAATATGTGATTAATAAATCATATATTTATATCGAACTCATTCGTTTAAATATTTTCCATTTCTAACAAAGTTTGAAACTATAAAACATAACTCAATTTATAAAATAAATAAATGTAACAATAAGAAATAAAAGACCGTTACTCTATACAGTATAAATTATTTTAGAATTTTGTTTCTTTTATAATTAATGATGTAATCTAAGTCATTTTACCTCATGTTATATATTTTTAAAAATAAAACAAACGAGGAATCTGTATCCAATTCAAAATTGCATCAATGTCATCACTATCGATATTGTTTCTCATATTATTACTGAAAAAGGCTAATAATACTTTTATTATTCACTTATTATTGTTAAATTTAAATATATCTTTGTTACTACATCTCCTGTTGCATCTCTCGCGACGTTTTTTCGAATTAATATTAGATATGCCAATAACTATTTTCTAGTAACATTCTGATAGAAAAAAATCTATCTAGACTATACCTGTATAGCTTTTTATAATTATTATTTTTACAATTTATCAGAAAATATTTAATTTTTAGATTAAAAAAACTAATATTTATATTAATTCCGGAATGAAATTTAATTATCAAGCAAATTTACAAGTTTATTTCATATTTTTATTTCTTAGCAATTCCCTCAATAAGCTATAGTTTTGCATAAAAATTTCCGTAATTTCTATAAAATAATCATTTAAGAAAATAATGATATAGTTTATATCAATACTCAATGCATTTGTTTTAAACACTCTGATTAAGTTAGAATATTCGAAAAGATGCATTGAGATGATAAAACATAGACTAATTTTAGTATTAAACAGATTCGAATAGATAATGCAGTGCTTAAATTTCCATTTTAAGTAGAGAGAAAAAAACTGTTTGCAGTGTTTTACAAATACTGTAATGCAAAAATTCAAATAAGTTAAATCAACTATTTTCGTTCCCTCAGAAGTTATATTTGGGAAAAAGCTTAATATCATGCACATACTAAAAATGAACTTTATTCTTAATTTAATCAGAATTTTTGTAATTTAAGTCAGAAAAAAAGTCAATATTCTATTTTCAGAGCTTAGAATATCAGTTAAAGTTTTTTTTTATTAAATCTTTAATAATAATTTTAAATATTAAAAACGATTAGTATAAAAGAATGAAAGATTAATGATACTGATAATCTATTAAAGATTTTATGTATTACTACATTAAACGTGTTATTTAATGGCATTCAAAGGTGCAAATGTAAAAATGATTTAAGAAATTCTTCTTTATTTCAATTTGAAATGATCGAATGGATTATGATAAAATATAATTTTAACTTTCTTTTTTTTAAAGTTAATGCTTTTCTCCGTTACTAAACTCCAATCTACTTTTTTTTAATTGTCACAGATAAATATATAAAAAGTTTCAATGAAAACCAATAGCAATATTTTTAATAATTTTATTCCGATTTAAAATTTAGAATTCAGCAGGTTGAATTTTGTCCAGATGTAACACTTCCCAGGAATACAAATTTTATCATATAATTTTTATTCTAATTTCCTAAGCATATTTAAATTTGTATTTTCTTTCACATGAATTTAAAATTCATATTCATATTTGATATTTTAAAAGCAAATTTCAACTGAATATCTTACCTTTTAAGGAATGTTTTCATTATAAATCTTTAAAATATTAATTACAATATGATTCTTTCTTGAAATCTTTATTAAAACCCATTCGAATGTGTATTTGAATGTGGCATATTATTTGTAATACATATAATGTTGTTAATATTATTAAATATACTAATCTTTAATATTTGTGAAAAATTTTAAAAATTTTCAGAAAGTTTGATTCCTTCGGAGATGAGATCAATTCACAAAAACATAAAAATTCAAAAATTATATAGAAAATTGTATGAAAATAGCTCAAGATAGAACTTAAATATAATAAACAAATAGCATTCAAACTGTAAAATCTTATTTTTAAAAATCCAAATACCTATAAAAAAATAAATTAAAACTTAAAAAAAATTGTTTTACTTACGTAAATATAATTATTTTTTCTTTTAATTACTTTAATCACAGTTATTTCCTGTAAAAATAAAAGTATTTTGCTTTATTTTCAACTGGGATGACAATTTTAAATAAAAGATCAATATTAATTTTTTTAGCTTATTTGTTTAACATATAATACTAATTAAAACTTTCTCAAGTTTAGTTTACAATAAACAATGATTTTGAGATTAAAATCTTGTTTATATAATTGAAAGGCTGAGCGCAACAGTGGTCTAACCCTCTTTTCTTATTGTACAGTACTGTAAAGTAGTGTAGGCTAGTTTTTCTCTGTTATATTTGTTTCTTTTCGACAATACTTAAATAGAACTCTAGTAACCTTTCATAGTATTTAGAGACAGTATATTTAATGGTACTGTTAACAAAATTTCAAAATGGGAGAGGATTAAACCACTGTTGCTCTCAGCCTTTCAATTGTAACTTGATGGTTCTATTATTGTTTTGATTTATAAGTATTAAGTATACTATTTCACGAGTTTTCTCTATAAATATTTTGTTATTCAAATTACTGTTATTATAGAGAAAAATAATACTGTATTTAATTAATTTTCATTTTTAGACATTTTTGTTGGATAAGTCTGTAATGATTTTTACTTTCACGCCTGTTACATCATAGAGGGAAAGTTGGCGATAGGTCAAAAAAATGACTTCCCCATGTTTTACATTTTTTGACTCGAGACCTTGAAACGTCCAGGTTTTTTTACTGTGTGTATAGATATTAGCATTTTGGGGACAATTTTCCACACTCTCTGAAGCTTAAGACATATGAAAAAGCTTCTAAATTATGAAGTGTTTAGAAGAAAGTGTTTACCAAATAAAAAATAATCTCTAACCTTAAAATTAAGCTCTTTGCCTTTTTATTATAATTAATAACATAAAAGTTTTTTAAAAATAAAANAGATTATTTAATAAAGAGTAATCATCAGTATGTATTGATGCAATTGTGTTCTATGGGTAAGAAGATAATTAATAGTTTGTATAATATTGTAATTTTTACATTGAGAAGATTAATAATTTTCTCTAGAAGCATAGAAATTCGTGATTAATTAATTCAACGTTCAAACTTCATGTAAAACACACAAAAGAGCCGTTTTTTTTATGAAAATTTCTCATTTTTTTAATGATGAAAACGAAAAAATTCTATCGATCTTCACATTTAATATCATTTATATTCAATATTTTCGACTAGAAATAGTTTAGAAAACATATATATTGATCAAACACACGCTAAATATTCTCAATATCTACGAGATGTATTGATATTTTCACTTGTTTTTCTATGGATGTAAACAAGAATATCTTCATTTCTCAACGAAGAAAACATCAATAATTTTTACAGTAGGTGTTGAATGATAAGATTTATAGAAAGAAAAATTAAAAAAGTACCTTAGGCATCTAAATTTTAAGAAATTTGATTAATACAGAGAATAATATGTATAAGTCTACGAGTCAAAGTATGTGTCTTGTACAAGAAGAATTGGAGGAAAGGTTGGTTTTGATATAAGAAAAAAAAAAGATACATTATCATATTTTCTCAAGAAATTCTAGAGATGTCACATTATATTTCGAGTCACGCATTTTATT